GGAAAAAGGGGTGGAGTGGGGGGGAGGGTGCAGAGACCAGACTGCTCCCTAAGAACAAGGCGTAGAGCAGCACATGTCACCGTTGCCAAGGCAACACGCCCTCCACCACCACCCCCCCTCCGTACGGAACGGGGCGGGCATTGTCACCAGCGCACAGGCGGTGTCACTGACCAGATGGTCGTGTGCTGCATAACTCACTTATCTGTCAGGCCGCTCTAAAGGAATGCAAAGCGCACAGAGCCTGAACAGGACGACATCTGCTCCGGGACTCTGTTTGCGGCCTCCCTTGCTTGCAGTTTATCTACGGATATATGTACATTCAGAAAGGAAGGGGGGGGGGCTGGTATGTAGCTTGTACCACCAACTCACCCCCCCCCCTCAGCCCCCCATGACCTCCTGCCCCATGGTGCCTCTGTCAGGGCATCTTCATACACACATCACTCAGGTTTCTGTTTGTACCACCGCTGCTCTCGGCCTGAGGCGGCACACGGTACGAGGTTCACAGAGTGCGTTTGTAGCGCTCAGGCCAGGAACCGGTGTGTCCGGCATATGTGATCGCGCATGCGAGTGCACATGCGTGTTTGTGCGGTGGCGGATGGCACGTGGTCTCCATGCGATCGCGCAATCGAGTGCACATGCGCGTCTGTGCGGTGGCGGATGGCGTGTGGTCTCCACAGGTCGCCTAAGAGGAATCAGATGTGGGCACAGCGTGGGAGCCTGGGGAAGCGGTGCCAGCGGGTCGCAGGGCGGGTGCGAGGCGCCCACGGGAGCCAGAGGTTCTGCCCTCAGTGTCGGCAGCTGTAATTAAGCTGGTTTGGCTGATGCCAGTGTTTCCTGCTCGGGTTTTATGGGGTACGGCGTGTGGCGCGACGGTTGGATGTCTGGGCTGGTTGAGGAGCAAAATCCTGTATAACGAGGGGCTGCCCTGACGCACCGGCTGCTGCCTGACTGGAAACCGCAGCACAGAGATACACAGTCGCCTTAGCGATTCTGTTCAAAGCATCATCACCAACATGTGCAAACAGGTATGATATGAAGTATGTACAGATAGATCTCCCATTGCTATATAAACATCCCTCCTTATAAATCTGTTAAAAAATCAAACAATTTAATTACCCCTGGTTACACCTATCAGAGTAACCACACTTTCCATTTTAAGCATCGCAACCCAGAATTTATTGTGAATTTCCAACAGCTTTGCTCATGTTTCTAAAAGTAACTTAAGGTAACTCCCGTCTACACGCCTTTTCACGTTTTCTAAAGACTCGATTCGAAAAGTGGAACAGAGTGGACTGTGATTCTCGTATCTGAGAGTCAATGAAGGCACCCGAAACCAAATAAGTGGAGATCAGTGAAGGAGAACAACAGAGTAAATCGATTTAACAAACAGTTTCAATGAAACATAAAAATATATAAAGAAAAGACAAAGATTTCCTGAATCCTGTTTCTGAGAATCACTGTAACCATTGTGAGAATCTGAATGAAATGCAGCCCATGAGATTTTATCAGCATGCAGGGTAATACTTTGCCTGCACACTTTGGCTTTGTGACAGACCTGCTACTTGCTACTGCAAGGCCAGGGTGGGTGATATGCGATGGAGCGTTACTGAACAGCGGGCCGTGGCGGTTTGCGGCGCAAATCAATTTATTGAAGAAATGCCACGCGATGCCGTAGGTCGACGAAATGCAGGAACTGCAGCCCAACCCTCACACTCTCCCGGTCCTGATCTTCCCTGACAGACAGGGACTAGCTGTCAACAAGTGCAGAGTACGGCGAAAGAGCGAGATATGACAAGCAATATCAGGCCACGCCCACAGTTGTCACATAACCACCTGAGCCGACGTAATATGCCGAGAAGAGAAAAGCACAGAATGGTTAGTGTGTGCTGTGTGTGTCTAACACGGCTTGCGTGTATTTGTGTGTAACACCAAGTGGGCAGAGTAAGAGGTACAGCTGTGGGGTGAATACAGACAAACACATGCCCAGGTGCTGAGCTGGCACACCTGATGCGGACGGGCCGGGTCACAGCCTCAGACGAGCCCTGGTCGGGAACTGGGGGGGCTGGTGGGTGTCGTGCTCACTCGCCTGTGTGCGTATGTGTGTTTCAGCAAAGAAAGAGAGCGCAAGGCTGGGAGCAGGCCCTCTGACGGGGGAAGTATGCCCCCCTGTGTCAGGCTGGTGAAATGAAGACGTACGCGGCAGTGTGACTGTTCCATTACTGTTGATTGATATTCTTTATTAAAAAGTCACATCAGTAATATACAAAATGACTGCATTATTCTCCATTCAGCCATACAGCACATTTACATTATAATCCATCCATGTGCATAAATACCTCAGTAGTTCACGTACAGTACCCCTATTGGACACTGTCATGTTGATTGATGACTGTACAGCCGAACGAATGATAACCAAGCTAACCGTACGCATGGTTCATTGTGTTTCCATGTAGGGGGTGGGGGGAGGGGTGAGGGTTGCACTACCTGCTGTATGCAGTATAGGGTTCCAGTGATGCAGTGACACAGGAACCACCTCAGGAACTCTCATCTCTGGAGGCGTCGGTCCTCAGGGTAGAGCGCTGCTCGTAGGTTGGCAGGACGCTGTCGGTAGAGACGATGTCGGCCGCGTGGAAGGCCCCGCCCACCCGCTCAGCGCCGGCCGCCGTTGGTCCCGCAGCTGTCGCCGATGCCCCTAGCAGTCGCTGCAGGGCCTGAGTGACGTAGCCCAGGCTTTTCTCCATGTGTGTGATCTGGTGAAAGACAAGCGGACAGTTTTACCTCCACCCATGACCCTCGGGAGACCAGGGAGGTCGGGCCAGGACGGGGCAGAACGCGGCGGGCCGCACTGAGCCGCGGACCGCGGCGTCACTCTGGATTAGGGTTGCAAAATTCTAGGAATATTCTTGTTAATTCCCATACTTTCCCGTTAATTCCCATGGAAAGTTTCTAAAGTGGAATATTTCCAAAATTCCCCAGTTTAACTTCCCATGGAACGGAAAGTTTCAGGAAAATTTCCAGAAATTTTCCAGCCCTTTGCAACCCTACTCTGGATGCACACAGTCACCTCCGCTGCCACGGCCCACATTCAGCACCTACAGGCCTAATTCCTCAATGAGGCAGCAGAAGTGAAAGACTGAAATACAACTAAACCCTGAACTAAATGATGGGGCAGAGCAACTATTTTAATTTTTATGGAATTTACGATTTACGATCAAAACAAAATAATCAAGATAAAACTATTAATGTGCCGCATTTTGTTTTGCGATGATGCTCCCCTTTGTCTTGTGTTATAGATCCCTTAACAGCACCTTTTTTGTTTTCCTGTTATTTATATTGAGAGTTTAAGGAAATCCACTATTAAAAAGACGCCATTTCTAAAGTTTGACAAATTTGTGATATTTCCAAAGTCAATGAGGAATCGTGTTAAATTATCGTGACCTCAGTATTGTCTGAAATAATTGTGATTATTAATTTTGCCATAATTTAGCAGCCAACTTAGAGAGGAGAGAATCACTGGCTTAATTTGCAGGGACCTGGACGTAAAGGACAGAAATCGGCCTGAGGGGTTAAAATCCCGCACGACACTGCGGATCGTTCCGGTGCAGCATGTCGGCAAAGACACGCTTTCCCGAGCCAGTGGCCCCACCCACCGACCACCTGCTGGCATGTTGCTACAGGCGCGCAACCGAACGGCAGCGCCAGAACCAGTGGGTCAACTGGGCTGAAACGTGATACCGAATGTTTCCCTCTGCGACTGCAAAATAACTTCTCTGATAGCCACCCCTATCTCAGCCGGTCCTTTTGAAATGTAAAACCCAAGAGCGGCTTTGTTATTCAAACAAAAATAATCGGAAGAAGCACATCAAAGAGAAAACGCGGAAAATGCCACATCAACAAAACAACTGAAGATCCTGCTGCAGTTATCTTTGTCAAGCTATTCTAGGAGCTTATTACAGATACGCCGATTGTTTCTTGCTGTTGGGAGACACAGCCATATCAGAACATTGTGCTGAAACATATCCTGATGGACCATTCCTGGGCCTCTTATCTGCGGCTGTCCTCCCCAAAATGCCAGACTGCAGCAGAAGCCAGTTTCTGATTCTCCCTTCAGATGTTAGAAAAACAACAAGTTCAGCACTTTTTTTTTCCCTGTCTTCCCACGTCACCTCTGAGATGTAATCTGCCAGTAGAGCCTTAGCCCTGTTTGATGTGGTCCCTAATTTGCTTTGCCCCTCTGCCTCGCCTTTGAGGGAATGGCAAAAGGCTGAACATGAAAAGGCCTTCACTAGCAAAATGTTTGCCGTGTAAAATCGTGACTAATTACTGCTTCAGTGATCCTTATTAAGTCTTCGTTTTATGTCAGGCCGCAGTGACAAGTACAAACTGTAAACGCTGCTTTGTTGGTTGTCGTTGTTCCCAGCAACGGAGCAGGGTGACAGCACAGGGCACTGTGTGAAAGGCGTGTGCGTGTGTGGGTCATGTATACATTACATTGTGGGGACCAAATGGCGCCATAATGTGATAAAACCTGTTATTTTGATATTATTTTTACCACCTTTTAAGTCTTCAGAAGGGGAAACTTAATTTTATAAAAATCTGTGACTGTAATTAAAAAACTAAAAATGCCCAAAGTCTGGTATTTTGTTTGGATAGTTATGGTTAGGGCTGGGTAGGGGTTAAGATTGTCAATGTTGGGATTAGGGTTTTTCCCATAGAAATGAATGGATGGTCCCCACAAAGATATGAATACAAATGTGTGTGTGTCTATGTGTCTTTGTGCTGATTGCAATCAAGTGTGCAAGTAGCATTTTTTTTTGTGTTTAATAGTGTGTTTGCGTATGTTTATATGAAAGTGCATGTTGACATATGTAGTTGTTCACATTTTTGTGTGTAGTTATCTGTGAATGGTCTGTGTTTAGTCAGTGCATTCAAATGCATGTACTTAAGTATGTACTGTTTGCTGCACTCGTACGTCGCTTGGAACAAAAGTGTCTGGTAAATAGGATGAATGGAAATGCAAGAATGTCCGTGTGTGTGTGTGTGTGTGTGTTGTGTATCTAAGCTTGTTAATGATTCATATTGCAGTGCCTTGTAAAACTCACACCCTTAAAACATATTAAAAATGGTGCTTAGTAAGTTGGATAAATGGCCTCAGACCACACAGCAACAAGCATGGACTGGGAATCCCTTTAGTTGACATAAAGAAGGGATCATGTGACATGGGGGTCACGTGACATGGGCTTTAGATGGGGATTTTCAGTGGGACAGGGCTGGGTTAAACTCCATATAAGAAAACGCTTAAAGCACCTAAATCACAGGTGGGGTTATAGATAATAACACAATTTTCGGGAATGAGAGGCAGGTGGCACGGAATATTATGATGACCCCAGTCACCTGACTGTCCATCTCCATGACTCCCCCACCCTGCCAGGGCAACACTCACCACCTCTTGTATGTGAACATATATGACAATGTGACACAGACGTTTGCAGGTGGTGCGACTCTGTGATTGGATATGGGAAGGTCAGGCGGCTCATGACTACGTTTACACCAGGTATTCTTAATGGTGAAATCTCACTCCGACCAACACACAGACCTGTGATCCTCTCTTTTGTCACATACTTTAGCTAATTGTGTCTGGGGTGACCAAAATGATTCGATTTCACGTCTTCAGCGACTGACCGCAGGTAACTTCTCTGCAGCCCTGTTACGACCCGACCTCTGTTACGACTCCAAAGTGCTCTGGGATCTGAATCGAGCAGCCAGACGAATTTGAGAAACACCAAAGAGCATCTAGAGTCGGAGGATCAGAGCGGAAGGGCAAACGAATTCCAGCCGGGATTCTTAGGGATCATTTGCAGGCCCAGGATCAGAGTGGAACGGGTGGGTGATTTTCGGTGCGGGACACTGGAGATTTACAGGCTGAAGATCAGAGTGGAACGGGCAGCTATCCAGCCAGAGCACTCAGGATTATTTGCAGCTTGGGACTAAAATACCACTATATAATCCCTCTGTATTCACACTTTCTGGAGTGGCTGGGAATTTTACACATTATGAGGCTGAGAATCAGCAGCAGCCCCCAGTATATTCATGTGGGATCACAAGTAAAAGCCAAGGCAAATCAGTGTGATGTAAGGCTTCTTTCTCTACTGGAAAATCACCATTGTCATTTGTCACTGTGATTACTTTTTCCGGGGCACTAAGCAGCACCGTTTTAAGTTACTAATATCAGTAGAGATGTAGAATCAACAGCCGTGCATCTCAGCCCGACCTACGGTACAAATCAATCTCCGTAAAGCAGTCACACTTCAGTCACCTGATTGGTCGGCAGAAGCTTCTGCGCTGTAGCGCTCCGCCGTTCTGCAGCCATTGTTGAATTTGGCCTGAATGAAAGCGCGGCCTCAGATGAAGGGATAACAAGCAGCCAGCAGCGAGATGAACAGTAATAATGATGGATCTCCCAAACCTCACGGCTCTGGGCTCCTTGGGCAGCTTGGAAGGAGACTGTCTGTTGGCCTGGGGCCCTCCTTCCCTCAGCCAGCATTTATCATCAGTAAGAAATGAACAAAAAAAATAAGGGTTCTTGGAACCATTCCTCTACAAACACTGATATCCAACCAGCTCTTTTCCTCTGGCCCTCCCTCTCCCCAGTGCTGTTACAGAGCTCTGGCTTCTGAGATGTCTCCTCCATCACTCCTTCCCTCTCTTTTCTCTCATACACAGAGGCAGGCATAGCTGCACACTAACATGCAGCCCAGTGTGTGCAAATGTAAGCACACACTTGTGCGTACACACACACACACACACACACACACACACGCGCACATTGCAGTCACAGATTCTTTTAAAACTGAGGTAGCACAGCTGGTATTTTTATTAACAAAAAACAAAACACCGAAAAGGTTGAAGCCGTAAAAAGGGATACTCCTAAAATGTTTTGACGCAAAAATCCTTCACGCACTCATATGGACATTCGGGTACAAATGCGCACACGGTGCATAATAACGCTCTGTCTGCGCACACGGTGCATAATAACGCTCTGTCTGCTCACACGGTCTGGACATGTGGGGCACATACACGCCCTCCACAGCCCAAGGCTGCACTGATAATGCTGCTGTTGGTTTCGGCCCTACACACCCCCCCCCCTTCCCATGACAGGAGCAACAGCAAGTCTGGAGTAAAACATGTGCTGATCTGTCTGAATCAGTGTTTCCCAACCCGCTCCTTGGGGACCTATAGGTAGTTCATGTTGTTGCTCCCACCCAACTCCCTGCCAGACATTGGTCGGATGCCAGGAGGGAGACTACAGGTCCCCGAGGACTAGATTGGGCAACTCTGGTCTAAATTAAACTTCTTTCTATCTGGTTCATTTGTGTCAGAGGTGGTGGTGAAGGGCAGAGGGGTGTTAATTGTGGCGCTTTGCTCTTGGCTTTGACGGGCAGTTGTTAACGGTGCGCCATCAATACGACATAAACACATCTGCTGACGCTGAGTGACCGACCCATAAACGGTGATGCACTGGGTCCCCTGAATAATGAGCAATTGAGTAGTGAAAGGGTCAGACTTCTAATGCTGAGTCGCGGTGCGATCGACGTGTCACTCACAGCTCGGGGGGGGACGTGGTTTTAACAGAACCCGAAAGGCCGCCGGCCATTTCCCCGCAGAACTGGCTTTCACAGAGAACAAAGGAGACACGTGGAAGAAATTTACATGCTAATTTATAATTACTCAGTTAATTAGCACTAGAATA